TTGTTAATATCTCCCTTTAGGATTGTTAACAGTTGCTTTATGTACCTTGGTGCTCCTGTATTGGGTGCATATATATTTAAAAGTGATATGTCTTCTTGGTGGAGTGTCCCTTTTATCATTGTATATTGCCCCTCTTTGTCTCTCACTACCTCTTTTATCTTGAAGTCAACTTTTTCTGATATAAGTATGGCAACACCTGCTTTCTTTTGTTTGCCATTAGCTTGGAGTGTTGTCTTCCATCCTTTCACTCTGAGCCTGTGTTGGTCTTTAGAGCTGAGATGTGTTTTCTGGAGGCAGCATATTGTTGGGTCCAGTTTTTTAATCCATCCCACTACTCTGTGTCTTTTGATTGGAGAGTTCAGTCCATTTACATTTAGGGTAATTATTGATATATGAGGGCTTATTGTTGCCATTTTATCACTCTTTTTCCAGTTCTTTTGCTTTCATTTTGCTTCTCATCCTGTGTGTTTTGCACTACCAGTTAAGTTTGGTACTTCTATACGAGGATTCTCTTAGCTTTCTCTTTCTGTATCGTGTGTGATTCTGTTCTGATTATTTGGTTAGTGGTTACCATGAGGCTTGTATAAAAAATATCATGGCTGATAGTCCATTTTTCGATGGCCTCTTATTCCCTTAGACTAAGTTGATTTGATCCCTCTCCTCTTCCCCTTCTAAGTTATTGTTGTCACATCTTATTCCTTCTTGTGTTGTGAGTTTGTGTTTCACATGATGAGGTTATATTTATTTTTGGTGCTTACCTCCCCTTGATCTTTGGTTCTATGATTAAGTGTTTGCTAATCTATTTTGATAGAGGACTGCAATTTTTCTGGTTTTGTCGACCTATTTCCCTCCTTGTTCAAAACTTTGAATCCCCTTTCCCTTTTTTTCCTCAGGCATGAGGGCTTTTTGAACACTTCTTGTAGTGGGGGTCTTGTGGCAATGAACTCTCTTAGCTTTTGTTTATCTGGGATAGTTATTATTTCTCCATCATATCTGAAGGATATTTTTGATGGATAGAGTATTCTTGGCTGAAAGTTATTGTCCTTCAGAATTTTGAATATATCATTCCACTCTCTCCTAGCGTGTAAAGTTTCTGTCGAGAAATAGGCTGAGATCCTGATAGGAAATCATTTGCATGCTATTTTTATTTATTTATTTATTTTTTGTCTAGCTGCCCTTTACATTTTTTCTTTCTTGTCGACTTTTGCCACCTCTACTACTATATGATTTGGAGACGGTCTTTTCATGTTGATATATTTAGGAGACCTATTGATTTCATTCACTGGTATTTCCACCTCCTTTCCCAGGTTTGGGAAGGTCTCAGCTATTATTTCTTTGAACAAGTTCTCTGCTCCTTTTTCCCTCTCTTCTCCCTCTGGAATACCTATAATCCTTATGTTGGATTTCCTAACTTAGTTGGATATTTCTTGGAGAGTTTCTTCATTTCTTTTTAGTCTTAGTTATCTTTCCTCCTCCATCTGGAGCATTTCTACATTGCTGTCCTCGCTATTGCTAATCCTTTCCTCCACAGTGTCAGCCCTGATGCTTAAGGCTTCCAGATTTGTCTTTATCTCCTCTATTGCGTTTTTCATCCCTAAGATTTCTGATTGATTTTTCTTTATACCTTTAATCTCTTTTGTGAAGAAGCTCCTGATTTCATTGAAGTGTCTATCTGTGTTTTCTTATATTTCATTCAGCTTTTTGATGATGGCAATTTTGAATTCTCTGCCATTAAGCTTATACATCTCTGTGCTTTCTGGGTTGACTTCTGGGTGCTTGTCATTTTCCTTTTGGTCTTGAGATTTAATTTATTTATTTTTGCATAGTGCCTGTCGGTGTTGGCTTATTTTTCCTCATAGTGAAAACATATGGTCACAGTTTCCTTTTGCCACCACTGAGTGGGGGTCAAGGGCTGTGTATTCTGGACCACCTTGACCCACGGGCACTCTGCTCAGCCCTCAGCCGAGCTGAGGCGTGGCTGTGGGGAGCCTGCTGGGAGTGAAGCATGGGAACAGCTGGAGATGGTGCTTGGGAACAGCTGGGGCTGGAGCCCAGCTAGGCCGAAGTAGCTGGGGCTCGGGTGTGGGTGGGTTGAAGCAGCTGCAGCTGAAGCACTGCTGGGCCAAAGACGCAGGAGCTGGAGTGCCGCTGGGCTGAAGAAGCTGGAACTGGAATGTGCTGGGCCGAGGTTGCCGGCACCAAGTCAGCTGGAGCCTGAGCATGGCCAAGCTGAAGCAGCTGGGGGCAGGGCACAGTCACGTTGCCACTGCGGGTGGGGTCTGGGCGCCTGGGGGCCGCTGCTTCTGGAGGTGGGATGGGGTCGCACTCCCACTGCTGGTGGGGCCCCAGCACTGGGGGGTCATCACACCTGGTGCCCAGTTAGCTGGGGGCCGCTGCCTCTGGGGCCTGGCTAAGCTGAAGCACAGCTGTGCCAAGACTGCAGGGACACTGTCCTGAAATGCAGGGGGAAAAGCTGAGTGTGGGAGGGGTGCTTACTTTCACAACCCCGATGTCAGAGGTCTCTCGCCTTGCTGTCACTCTCTGTTCTCCTGAGGGGCTAGCTTGTCAAAAGCACCCTCACGACAGTTCTGCTCCCTCCATAGGGGATTCCCCACAGGCTGTGCGGGGTCTTGGAAAGCACCAGTGTTCACACAGTGAGCCACCCCTCTCCGGCTGTCTGAGATCCAGGTGGTCTCAGTCTCTGGGTTGCAGTCCTTGGGGGAAGGAAGGGAGGTCCTCTTACCTCCTTCCACTTACTCTGGGGATTCCAGCACCTCAGTCCTCAGGTGTACAGCTGCCTGGGTGACTCAGACATCCCCTGTGTTGTGTGAATAGCATCTGTTGGAATATGAATGTCCCTTTTGTTGTGTCTTAGAGGGGGAGAGTCCAACGGGGGAAGCTCACTCTACCATGATGCTGACCTCACTCTCTAGGCATCCTTTTTGAATTAGTATATTAACTGTAATCATAGTTGTGATCTGTTGAGTACCTACCTTGTGTCAGGCACTTGATCTAATTTCTAATCCTTGCAACAGTCCAGAGGACAAGTCCATTTCTCCCATCACACTGATAAAGAAACTGAGATGTAGAGGTGAAGTGGCCCATCCAAGGTCACACGAGTGACAGAGCTGGGATGAAAAGGAGTTGGCCTGGCACCCCAGTCCCTGTTCTTACCACTGTCCCACCCCACTCCATGTGCTCTGCTCTCTCCTTCCAGCTGGCTCTGAGGCCAGAACAAGAAAGAATTCATTCATTCAGTGATCATTCATTCAACAAGTCCTAATGGATGGCAAGCACGCATGAGTCACTGAGGCAGGTCAGAACCGGATGCCACCTGCTGGAGCTTGGTGTCCAGGTGAGGAGACGTCATCATGTGAGGAGGCAGATGTCAGTCATCAGGAATGGTGTGACCAAGTGCTGGGAACTCAGAGCTGCTGGAGAGCCCAAGGAAAGATTTTTAGAGGAGATGGCATTTTGGACAGGACCCCAGTGGACCAGGCAGATTTTCCCAGCAGAGATGGCACAAGCCGCCACACAGAGGAACAGGTCTGCTCACAGACTCCCAGACCAGGAACCCTGGTCCACAGTGATGAGTTCTGTCCTCCTGGAGGTGGGAGGTGAAGAGGGTGGGGAAGCAGTTGGAATCACATTGCTGAGAGCCTTGAATGCCAGGCTGGATGCTGAGCTTTGTCCCGTGGGCAGCAGGAAGCCATGGAAAGTTTTGGAGCAAGATAACAAGATGAAAATCAAACATGAGCACTCTGGTGTCTGTCTTCAGACCCAGGTTCCCAGGCCCCTGGGAATGACTCTTCCATCATTTCACAGAAGAGCTGTGTTTCAGACCCTTGTGCAGCTCTGTGTCCCCAGCACTGAGGACAGTGCCTGATGCCTTGTGGAAGCTCCATGAACATTTGTTGATTGACTGAATGAATGAATGAATGAATCTGCCTGCCAGCCCCCATCCATCACGGTCCTCTTGCAGCCCCTGTCCTGGCTAAGTGGAATAAAATACCTGGTATATTTCAGATTCTCCCATCTCTCTCCCTCCAGGTCCCTCACCTTTTCCCTCCTTGCTACCCCTCTCCTTTCTGGTCATGAGTAAATGAAGGGACAAATGCTCATGTGCTCCCACCAGGTGTTAGGCAGTAGCAATTACTTCAAATTCTCACAGTCACTCTCAGGGATAGAAATGATTAACTGCTCTTGGCAGGTGAGGAAGCTGTGATTCAGAATGGTTAAGGGACTCGCCCGGCTGCTGGGTGGCAGAATTGAGACTCACCCAGGGACCTTGTGATTCCATCTAGTGCTTCCAGCTGGGAGTGTGGAGTGTTGTGGTGGGGGGTGGGGGTGGGGAGGAAGAGGAGGCAATGGAAGGGATTCTTGGGTGGGGGTTGGGCTAGGGTGGTGGAGGGTCCATATCCAAAGACCAAGCAGCTGGACCCCTGTCTGAGGGCTCTTGCCCCTCTCTGGGTCCAGCTGCCACATCAGGATGCTGCAGCCAGCTCCCTCCACTTCACTCCTGCATTCACTTCCCCAGGCTGGGGCTGGGGGCAGGAACACACACACGTGCATGCACATGCACATGACAGCCCCAAAGCCTGAAGATGTGAAGCAGTAGTTTCCTGAAGCAGAGCGACTTTATTTTTCTATAAAATTCTTCTCCAGAGATCATTTTTATATAATGCTCAAGGTAAAGCACCATCCACCTTCTTCAAGTGGAAAACATCCCTAAAAGGCTTCGTCAGAAATTCTAGAGTCAAGCAGGCTGGCTGGTTTGCAAGGCTCTCTGGGTAGCCTCTCTGTCAGTCCTCTTAAAACCTTCTAGAACATTAGCTCCAGAAAGAACCTCCAACTCCAGAAGCCTCCCATTTTACAGATGGGAAAATTGATGCTCAGACCAGAGAAGGGTCTGTTCAAGGTCCTCCAGCGTGAGTGGCAGAGCTGGATCTCAGGCCCAGGGACCCCCAGCCCACCCTATCTGCTCCTCTTTCCCCCAAGGCTCACTGCCACTATCTAACCAAGGCTGTGCCTTTGGGGGAGAGCTGGGTTCCACCTCTCAATGCCGGGTGGCATAGCTGAGGCCATGACGACCTCACTCTTCACCTGGAAATTTACCTGGCAGCACGGGGCCCACACAAGCACGGGTTTCATGGCCAAAGAGGCTTAGAGAAGGAGGTGACACACCTCCTCCCCCATCACATCACCTCCCCTCGGGTCAAGGGTCTGCCAAGGCCATGTGCTTCCTGCTCTGGAACTAAGGAGAACTTCCACCAGCCTTTGCTATGGGTCTGTAGGGTACCAATCAGCTTGGCAACTGAAATTCTTTTCTTGCCGATCAGAAGTCTCAGCTAGCAGTTAAATGTCTTTCTTTTTTTTTTCCAAGAAAAAATAACATTTGGTTAATACAAGTAGCCTAAGTTGGCAAAAGACTTTCTGGACACGGGGTCCTCAAAGGTGGGGGAAGATTAGCAAAAGCATCTGCAGAGCTGAAAAGCGAGGGCTTCTGAACTAGGCGACTGCAGGGGGCCCTTCTTCCCGCTGGCATTCCCGGTAGACCAGGAAGGGGTGGACAAACGTCAGCAGAGTGGCAAGCACCAGCATCACATTCACCTGGAGGGGGAGAGGAAGGAGTGAGGCGAGTCCGGGAATCTGAGCAACACCCGCGACCAAGGAACGGACCAGAATTCTGCCTAGTGCATCTTCTACTTTCTGCTCCAACACTCTGGTGCCCTAGAGGAAGTACTCAGTTACTTTTCATTCTGTCCTGTGAAGCAGGGTGGGGAGGAATATTATGCCCATTTCATGGATGAAGAAGCAGAGGCCTAGGGAGCATTCAATGACCGGCTCAAGGTCACATGGGAAGTTGGTGGAGGCACCAGAGCTACATCACGTCTTCCGAATATTCAGTTAGGGGCATCTGATATCACAATCAAGTAATTCTCCTCGGTTTTTAAGTTCAATCCTTTTTGTTTTTCATCCCAATGACTGATTTAAACTCTTATTCTACAACTTTGCTGACCTTTTTTTCTCTTTTGGTGAGGAACATCGGCCCTGAGCTAACATCTGTGCCAATCTTCCTCTATGTTTGTGTATGGGACACCACCACAGCAAGGCTTTTAGGAGCGGCGTGTAGGTCCACGTCCGGGATCCAAACCCAGGAACCATGGGCCACCAAAGTGGAACGCGCGAACCTAACCACTACGCCACCGGGCCAGCCCCTTTGTTGATCTTTTTAACATGACTCTAACAGGGCTGTGAAGTGGTCAGAACACTGAACTCAAAGTCAGAAGCCTTCTGCTCCTTAGCTGTGGGCTTCTGAATATACAAGCCACACAACCCAAATCTTTGAGCCTCAGTTTCTTTAATCTGCAAAAAGCTGGAGAGTCATGTCCATCTCCCAGGGCTGGGCCTGTGAGCATCCCTCCAGGTGCGGGGGTGCAGGGGTGAGAGCACAGAGCTCTTGCCCCTTAGATCAACTGTGGAAACCAATGCCTATTGCAGCCCTAGGTCTGAGGCCAGGGTCAACCGGTGCTCACTGCAAGCAGGGAATATCTTTGAAGTCTTAGGCTTTCATGGAATTATGGTGAGGATTTTGCATTCTCCTTCAGAATATGTCTATTTGTTTCCACACACAAAAAAATATCTTCTCCCCAAATCTCTGAATAATGTGGACCCTCTTGGCAGCCACGCCATGATAACCTTATGCTTTAGGTACCCCCAGCATAAGGCAAGGTACTCCCACTGAGCCCAGTTTGAGAAGCAAGACCAAGGATGTACCCATGTGCAGCAATGTTCCTGCAGGAATCACCTCAGCCAGATTTGGGGCGCCCTCTGCTGGGTCCCCACTGAGTCGCCCCAATCTGGATGTCCTTGCTGGTCTGAGGCCCCACAGTACTCACATAGAATGGGTTATTCTGGAGGGGGCCCTTGATGAAGGTGAAGACGGGGAACTGGAGCAGAGACACGACGGCTGACAAGGTCATCACTAGCCCAAAGAGCTTCCCAAAGTGATCTGAAGGGAAACTGAAAGAGAGACAAATGGGACCCTCCCTCCAAGGAGGGCCTGGCCTGGGTGGGCCTTTGTCAGCCACTTGCTCCCGACTCCCCTGTCTTAGGCCTGTCTTCACCCACTTACTCCCACACAGCCCTCCTCCCTTTCCCTTTGCTCAGGCTTTCAAACCATAGAACACAGAGAAGGCATTGTGCTGGGCTGTGGGAAAACAGCAGGGACCTGGACACAGGCTGTGCCCTGGGTGGGGGTGGAGGTGCAAGGAAAAGACAGACATGTGAACAGATCACTGTATGCCAGACGATGCGTGCACCATCAAAGGAAGCAAGAATAGAGTTCCCAGGGCACAAACAAGGGAAGACACTTTCTTTCCAACTCTTCCCTGGGAGAGCTAGAACAGAGGTGGGCCTTGGAGGGTGAATAGGAGTTCACCGGGCAGATAACAGAAGCAGAGGGGGAGCTGATATGAAGGCTCAAGTCCGTGAAAGCTCTATTCCTCCCACTAGCCTCCACCTCCAGGCGCCGCCCCATACACCTCCTCCCAGACCCTGTCTCCATCACCTGACCACCTCAGGCCCATCCTCACCTCCCGATTTCTTTACCTCCAGCACGCTTCCCATTGCCCCCTGTGTCCCCCATTATGTAACGCACCCCAAGTCCACTTACGCAAGGGTCAGGAAGGCAGCATTGCCCCCATACAGGAAGGAGCGGCTGATCACTTGCAGGATGAAGGTGACATACTGGAGGGGGAGGACAGGGATCGAGGCACAGAGGGCGAAGCCCAGGCACAGCAGAGATGTAAGGGCCAGCGAAGGCACCGTGGAGCAAAGGACCACCGCCGAGGCTGAGGAACCTGGTCCAAAAGGGAAGAGGAGAGGCTGCCTGGAAGTGGGCACAATGGAGAGCAGGGAGAAGGCAAGAGAGATCGGGGAAAAGGGAGGAGCCACCATCCATCTAACCATCCAGGCAGAAACCTGGGGGTCATCCTTCAGTCCTCCTCCTCCCACAGGCCCCATCTCCAGTCCATCATTAAATGTTGATAACCCACCTCCTAATTACCATTCAGATGTATCCACTCCTCTCCTTTGCCACCCCCTCATCCTAGTTTTAAGCCACCATCACTCACTCACAGGTTACATAGATTAAATGGCCTCCTAACAGGGCCACCTGCTCTGGCCCCTCCGACCCGATGCCAGATATTCCAGGTAGCATGACAGGTACTAACAAAAGACAGAGACAATCCAAACAGCCGTCAGGAGAGACAGCTGCATCGGCTCTGCTGCAGCCCCATCACGGAGAATGAGGCCGCGGCGAGAGGAGAGAGGAGAGGGCCCTGGTGTGGAGCAGCCTCAGGACAGACCGTCGCACAGAAGGAAGACTGCACAATAGGGCATGCAGTATGCGGCCTTCATCTGAGAAGGACGTTATATATATATAGTCTGTCTTGAAGAAAAAAATCACTTCCTAAAGACAGAGGGAACACATGGGCTGCAGAGAAGAGAGAGGAAAACTAAACTTCTTTGAACGTATCTTGTTTCACAGTTTGGGCTTTGGAAAAATGTAAATGATTGATATAGAAATGCTTAAAAACAAAATTAAATAAAAATAATAGGAAGAAAACAAGCAAAGGCATTCCAAAAAATCAGGAACAAAATGAAACCAATGAACATAACTTTATGTCAAGTTGTGATTCTTTTTTTTTTTTTTGGTGAGGCAGATTAGCCCTGAGCTAACATCCGTTGCCAATCCTCCTCTTTTTGCTGAGGAAGATTGGCCCTGGGCTAACATCCGTGCCCATCTTCCTCTACTTTATATGTGATGCTGTCACGGCACGGCTTGACAAGCGGTGTCGTCAGTTGGCACCCAGCATCTGAACCTGCGAACCCCAGGCCGCTGAGGCAGAGTGCGAGAACTTAACCACTATGCCACCAGGCCGGCCCCTGAAGTTGGTGACTCTTAAAACACGGTAATATGACTGTACATCTCTTGTGGGATATGTGCTAAGGAGGAGAATGGAAAGAATGAAGGAAGGAAGGAAGGGACAGAGGGAGGGACCAAGAGCACTCAGCAACAGTATTGTTATTAATAGTATCGATATTGTTAAAATCAGTAATAGTATATAAAATATATTTTTAAAATACTGTGTGTGTGTGTGCAGTATTATTAGGAACCAAGATTTTCAGAGGAAGAGAAAAAGAGATACAAATGTAAAATTAAGGAAGTAAAATTTGAATTAAAATATCATTATTAGGTATTCATGATGTATTTTTTTCTTCCAAAAAATTATGTATATCTTAACTCTATCCAAACCCCAAAAGCAATGACAACCCAGCAGAATTAGAAAACCTAGCATCCAGACCACAGTCTTGAGATATCATTTCCCATTAAGGGGACCCAGGGCTACTTGGAGAAATGGCTGGTTTCAGGTCTGGGGCAGGAAACATACCCAATGAAATGGACCTGAACATCCATTGTGCTAGAAAGTAAAGACACTCTCTAAAGCTAATGGGATTATGTCTAAAGGACACAGATACTGGATTGGTAAAGTTTGCAATGGCCAAAGATGGGACAATTTGAGCATCAAAAAGAATTGTGGTGAAATGGATCGAAACACATCCAATATATTTAAGATGAGACTTGGAAAGAGAAACATCAAGCAGTCACCTCTGGAGGTTGCTGGGGCATCAATGCACTATTCTGAAACTGGTAAAAAGAGGAAAAATAGAGCATTTATTTCAGGGTAACAAAATAGTTAATAAGGGGAAGTTTTTATTTCTAGAGGAATTCTAGCTATTAAAGGCAGAAGGAAAGATAGAAATAGAACATCATTTGCAACTCGAATAAAATAATGGGTCTAGGCATTGGTCATCAATGGCTGCTACGATCACCAGGTATGCAGTCGATGGGAAACTTTAGAATAAGTGGATCAGACTGACAATGTCTGAGCCCATTGATCAATCTTAACGTCATAAGAACAGGACAACAGGTACCAGGGGCCTGCTGATGGGAGCCCACAGGAAGCCCACAGCTCCACCTCTGAATTATTCTCGCCAAAAATATTAAACTGAGTCTCCTCGAACCTCCAATCTACCTGTTTACAAGAAATATCCAATCAAAGAAAAACATTTTAAATGACACCAAAAGGATGCCAAATCCAAAATCGGGAAATTGGACAGGACAAACAATACAGTTTCTTCAACAAATCAACAACAAGGCAAAAAAGTGGGCGGAAGAGGATGCTCATAGATTTAAAAAGACATAAAAGGCACATCAACCAAAAAAATTGTGTGGCTCTTAATTTGAACAAACTGTAAAACAACATATTTGAGACAATTAGGGAAATTTGAGCAGGAATGCATAGTAGACGATATTAAGAGATTATTGGGGTTTTTTTGTTAGGTGTGATAATGATATTACGGTGATGTTTAAGTAAAAGAGGCCTTATCTGGTAGAGCTACAAACTCCAGTATTTATAGATGAAATGATTTGATGTCTGAGATTTGCTGTAAATACTCCAGCAGGGGTAGGAGAAGCCGGGCAGGGAGTCAGGGAGGGGTGTAGATGAAACCCACAGGAGAAATGTTACTGTCTACTTTTGTTCTTCCCCATCCCCCATCCCTGCAGGTTAAAATACCTCAGCACCCCTCTGTTCCTCCATTCATGTCCAAGGAGCATGTCCAAGCTCCTTGGCAGGGGGCACAGCCTGCCCCTTCTCATGTCTCTCTCTCCAGCCCCTTCCATACTGCTTCATACCCTGGCCAGCCTGAAGCACTTCAAGGGATTCCTCCCATTCCTCAATGTTTCACTCTCTTTCACGACCTTGACTCCACCTTGACCCCACCGTATTCTTGGGCCACTCTCCCAGGGCCCTCCTCTTCATCTCCTCGCTTCTGACTCATCCTTCAGGTCTCTGCTTAGATGTCACTTTCTCCAGGAAGCTTTCCCAGACACCAACCCCATCCTCACCCACAACAGGTTATGTGCCCCCTGCAGGTTTACTTTATAGATTGTAATGCTTAATTACTTGCCTTTCTCTACTCTCTACACTGAGAACAGCTTGAGAAAAAGGACATATGTGTCTTGTCCATTGTTGAATCTGGATCTATGGCTGGCCCATAACTGGCACTCAGTGACTAGTGGTGGGACAGATGGAGGGATGGACAGATACAAGTAGAAAAGGATTAAGAACAAAAGAGAAAAAAAGGATTAAGAACAAAAGAGAAGATGGGCATGAAGGTAAATGAAGATCTCTCCCTTCCTCATTCCCTGATGCTCCAGAGCCCAGGTCTCACCTGTCTTTTTTGCTTTCTTCTGGTACCTCTGTTTAAGCCGGTCCATGAGCAGGCCATTCCAGGGGGCACAGAGCACTCCAAAGAACTGAGTGATGGCAAAGGCATTTGTGTAGGTGCTGACTGCAGAGGGTAGAGAGGGGTTGGGAGATAAGAAATTTCCAGGGCTGCCTTAGAGGAGGGGACTCTCCCACCCTGCTCTGCCTGACCATCCTCCCCGCACCCCTGCTCAGACCTTTCTCTGGAGCACACAGCCCTGCTGGGCTTAGCACCCCATCCCCCTCGAGGTTCCAGGTCCCCAACTGGGATGCACAGATGGGCTGCCTCCCAGCCCTGCCACATACCTAGTCCCCTGTCCCCCTTGGCCAAGTTGGTCAGCAGAGAGTTGAGGGTGCCAATGAAGAGATAATGCCACAATTGTATCACAGACAGCCACACCAGGTGCCAAGCAAAGCGCCGAGAGAAAGCGTATCTCCAGAAAGGACGGAGTTCCTTCTGCTGCCCTGGATCTGGGATCTCTGAGGGAGAAAGGAGGATCTGGGCATGAATCACAAGGAAAGTGGAGGGCTGGGGTGGGCAAGAGTGTAGAGGCCTTAATAGGACAGTCTGAGGTCCAAGCTCACCTTCTAGTCTTACCTCCCAGAACTCAGGCAGCATGCTCTCTGAGCTGGCCACAAGTGGCACATCCTCCCTTCTACGCCTCTGTCATCCTGACCTTACCACCTTGAATGACCCTCCCCAGGTTCTTCTCCTCTTCTGAAATCTGATCTGTCCTACACAGTTTGGATTCAATGACACTTCTTGCACTAACACTTTCCTGATCTTTCTCAGCCAGGATAGTGAAAAGAAAGGCAAGGAGAGGAGAAAGTTAGAGATGAGATGAAGGTTAGTGGTGGACATCTATAATTGTTTCAGCAGCTCTGCATCCCTCCCTTTTGGTACCAAGATCCTGGTTTCTTCTGGAAATCTTCCCCTGCCTTCTTCTTCATGGTCCAGATATGACTGTGAATTAAGTGTTCTGTTCCTCACCCAGGTCAACCAATAACGATCGTTCTCCCTAGAGAGGCAGACCAGCTGTGACTTTAGACTGGGATCCCAGGGGTATCCTGGTTCTGCTCATCCTGGAGTCTGGCAGGTTCATTTTTCCCTTGGTTTTGTGAGCTTCCCAGAATCCTGTTCTTGTTTCTACCTCAGCCAGCAGTGGTTTGTGATGTTTGTAACCAAAGACCCAAAAGAGATGGCAGAAGGAAAGGAGGCAGCAATGGAGATGGGACAGCGAGAGAAGGCAGACCCGGCAGACCTGCAGAAATGGGGACAAATAAGGCAGACTTAGGCCTGAGGAATAGGGGGAAGGGAAGGCAAATGAGGGAAGACAGACTTGGGGGGCGGGGAGATAATGACATGGGAGAGAGAAAAGAGGGAGAGAAGAGACAAAAGTCTTGTCTCTTTCTGGACCCTCTACAAAATGAGGAGGGGTTGAGAAGATTCCACAGGTCCTTTCTCCACCCGACCTTTCCTGATTGAGGCTCTAGGGAAGCTCTGGAGGTGAGGAACCGGATCAGACACAGCGAAGGCCAGGTTCTGAAGGGGAAGTGGGTCCACCAGTGGGCTCACCTTCCTTTGGCGAAAGGAACTCCTTCGACTCTAGTTCTCGCTTTTTGGACTCCACTGTCTTCTCCTCCTCTCTGGTGTCATTCCCAGAGCACAGGCTGCGGAAACAGAAGCCCCATCAGCCCAGCCCAAGGACTGTGAGCTGAGCCTGAGTCTCAGCCTGGAGAGAATAGTGCAGGGGGTCCTCAACTTCACTGCACATTTGGAATCACCTCTTAACAACCCTGATGCCCAAGTCGCAGCCCAGAACAGTTAAATCAGAATGTCTGGGAGTGGACGCCAGGCTTCCATATTTTTTTAAGATCACCAAGTGATTCTGTGATTCTAATATGCAGCAAAGTTTGGGAACCACTGGAAGTGTGGGAAGGGTAGGACAGGCCTGGATTCAAATCCCAGCTCTGCCTCTTCCTGGCTGTGGCAACATGGCACAGACATAACCCTTCTGAGCCTCATTTTTATCATTTGGAAAATGGAGATAAGGCTATCTATCTGAGAGGATTACCATGAGATGAAATCAGAGAGCACATGGAATCTGGCAGGCAGTAAATGAGCAGCAAATGAATGCTCTCCCTCTACTGCTTGTGCAGAGCAGCTGCAAAAATGGTCATATTTCTTCACTTCCTCTGTTCTCCACTCTTTGCAATGGAATTTTGCAGCTTAGACTATTTCACCATCCCCTGAATCTGCACTGGCCTTGCAAGCTGCTTCAGCCAAGAGTATGCAGCAGAAATGATGCTGTGCCAATTCCAACCCAAAACTTTGTGCATTTCTGCACTTTCTCTTGGTACCAAATGCTACCTTCCATTTGGTAGCAAATGGAACCACCATGTGAACAAGACCAAGCTAGCCTGCTGAAGGATGAGAGCCGGGGACCCAGACATTCCTGTCACCCAATATGAGCATGAGACAAAACCCACGTGAGTGAGGCCATCCTAGATGAGCCAACCCCCAGCTAGCCCACCAGATGATCAGAGGCATGAGTGAGCCCTGTCAAGATCATCCAAGTCTGTCCCTGATCAGTAGAACTAGTCAGCTACCCACAGACCCATGAAAAATAACAAATGCTTAATGTTTTAGGCCACTGAGTTTTGGGGTAGTTTGTTATGCAGCAATAGCTAACTGATACACCTGTTCTGGTCTTCCTCTCCTGTGACAGGTTTCCTCTTCCCTACTATAACCTGTGTGTCCTATCTCTTGCTTCCTACCCCAGGTCACATGAGGGGCTCTGGCCCACAATTGCCAGGTCATAGTCCTTACCCATAGCGGTAGTTGGGGGGCAGCGGGAAGGGGATGTGCCCCCGGGGCATAAGAAGGAAAGTGCGCCCAACATGCCAGATACTGAAGACAGAGAAGAAGATGAAGGAAGTCCTCAGGCTAATGCCCTGTTCATAAAGGAGCTGCAGAAAAAGGAGGTTAAAAAGTCAGTGTAACACCTGTGTTCACAGCAGCATTATTCATAACATCCAAAAGATGGAAACAAACCAAGCGTTCATCCACGGAAGAACAGATAAACAAAATGTGTTCTATCCATACAATGGAATATTATTCAGCCTTAAAAAGGAATGAAATTCTGACACAAGCTATAACATGAATGAACCTGGAGGACACTTGCTAAGTGAAACAAGCCCAGTAACAGAAGGATAAATACTATATGATTCCATTTGTATGAGGTACGCAGAATAGCCAAATTCATACAGACAGAAAGTAGAATGGTGGTTGCCAGGAGCTGGGGGTAATGGGGAGTTATTGTTTAATGGAGACAGAGTTTTAGTTTTACAAGGTTGAAAAGAGTTCTGGAGATGGATGGTGGTGATGGTTGCACAACAGTATGATGAACTTAACGCCACTGAACTGTACACTTAAAAATGGTTAAGATGGCAAATTTTATGTTATATATTTTACCACACAAAAAAAGGTCAGTGTGAGAAGCAGGAGCTGGAACCCCAGTCTCTAAGAATAAGTCTTGGTACAAGCTCTTGCCTTCACCCTGGAAGCTAATGAGGACACCTGGTACAGCTATAACCTCACCATCACCCCAGGGCCCAACCAGCAGCAGAGGAGGCAGCAAGTTATCCATCCCCACAGCCTTGTAGAGTCTCCTAGTGCGGCTTCTCATACATCTTCCAGCCCGGTGCTTTATTTATTTATTTATTTTTCCTAATGGTAGCAAAGTCCTGTTGTTCAAATAAAATTTTACACAGAAATCCAGCTAATGAAACACATCAAGTGGGGAGTGGTCCAGTCATCCTCCCCCTCATTCTCCTTGGTGACTGACATAACATCAAAGGGAACCCCTCAGTGTTCCTCAACACCCACTTTGAAAACCACTGATCTAGCCCAACCTCATCATTTTACAGAGAATGAAACTGAGGTCCAGAGAGGCACAATGAATTGTTCAACGTCAGAGTAAGCAGCATCAAGGTCAGATTAAACTAAGAACTCCAGCCCCTGCTCTGGAACTCTTTCTCCTTCCAACTCTAAAGCAGGAGAAGAGAATGGGAGGAACATCCAGGGGAAAAAGAAAGAACCCGGAAAGTTGTTCTTTTAGCAGCAGTAGCAGGGCTTGAGTACATGCCCCAAGGGCTCAGTCTCTGGGTAACCCTCCAAGCCAAGGTGCTTATGGTACTAAGCTAGTCTCATGTCGGAAAAGTGACTCCCAGAGATCCTCTTTTCTTCCCCCACTGCCCACACAAAGCCCAGAGGGAAGTCCCAGGTTGGTCAGCTTGGAGTATCAAGGACCCACACTCTTTTACTCCTTTCACTCATTCATCCCTAGTGTGCTAGCTTTTGTCCTCCAGCTTGCTGCCTCATAATCACAGTACGGCTGCCACAATTCCAGCTGTCATGTCCTCCAACTACAACATTCAAAGAGGAAGGGTGGAAAGAGGGACCAAGGAGGAAGGCTTTCTTTTTGCTCTGCTCTCATCTTCCATCAGGGAGGGAAATATCCCCTAAAGTTCTCCAGTATACACCCTCTTCATCTTGTTAACAAGGACTGGAGAATATGCCCACCTCTAGCCATCATTAGCAAGGAGGAAAGGGACTGCCACAGTTGGCTTAAATCAGCCAGGATTCATCCCCTGGACTGGGCACTTTACTGCCCAGATGAAATTGTCAGCCATGAAGAAGGTGGAATGGCTGTTGGGTGGGCTACCAGTAGCACTGGCAACAGCCCATCCCCCGATCCCCAACATCTGCCTTTAGGAGAGCTGGAGAGGCCTCTGTGTCTGCCCCTGCTGCCCCCACTAACCACCTCCCACCTCCCTGTCCAAATCAGAAGCTCACAAGCACAAACAACCCATTCCAAAGGGCTCCCAGCCTCTACCCAACACCGGCCCAAGCATATCATGGCTGTGCCTTCCCTTAGCCTCTGCCTCCAAATCCTACATAAGTGTAAAGAAGAGGCTTAATGGTTACAAGCTCGTGCTCTAGAACCAAACATACCTGGGTTCCAGTTCAAGTGTCACGTTTTCTAGCTGCAGGAGGGTTGATGGAGAGAAACCATGCAAAGTTCACAAGACAAGTGTCTGGTATATATAAGTGCTCAATAAATGTTGGCTATTGCTATTTTTTACCTTAACGATAAGGAAGACTGCTGAGGAAGAGTCAAATGCTCCATTGTAGAGGGTGATGATGGTCGAGCGGTGTTTGCCAAATAGGTTTCCAACCTGGAGAACAAATGACCAACCTGAATCACTTACTTATTCATGAAATAAATATTTCCCGAGCACCTAGCATGTGCCAGGCCTTCATTATACCCAAACTCACCCTCCACCCCAAGAGCTACCACCCATGCTTGGGCCAACCCCATTTGAGACAGCCAATGTAGAAAAGTACTTCTCCCTCCTTCCACCCTCCCCAACCTCCTGCCAGGTGCCTGGGATTAGGGCAGGCTCACACCTGCAGGTTGGTGATCAGAAACAGGATTCCCCCAATACTGAGCATGGGCATGGCCAGGAAGAGCAGCAGGGCTGATCCTGAAACAATTAAAGATAGAGGTAGGGTGGTGTCATAGTGCAGTCCAAACATGGAGCCCCAACTCTGGCTCCCACTTGCTCCAAATTCCCAACAATCCTGGGGTCAGGGCCCCAATTCCAGCATCCTTTGAGGATCTTAGGATACTGGTCAAGGCTCCCCCAAATGTCCCTGTGGAGGTCTCCTGAACCACCTTCTTCCCCACCAAAGATGATTGGTCCTCGGTCTGTGGCAGGCCTGGATGTCTACAGATAGAGGAAGGATTCGAAGTGAAGCCACGGCTCCCTTCTCTCACTAAACCACAAACAGCCCCTTCTATTCATCCTTGACACTGTGGGGGAGAGAAGCCTGGACTCCGCCCACAAGCCCAGCCTCTTATTTGCTGCATGACTTTGAGCTGGATTCTGAATCTGTGACTCAGTCATCTTATCTGTGAAATGGGAATAACAGTCCCTGCTCCTCCTGCCTCGTGGGGTGCTGGGAGATCTGAGTGAGAAAATGGCCACGGACTGTCTTTCCTTTGTTCATTAAACTTTGAGCATTTCCTTCATGGGGCATTGAGCTTGGCATTGGAAATGAAGGATGGGTAAAGCATACTTCTTGCCCTTGAAAAGACTGACATGCAAACAAATTATTATGATAGGTCTGGAAAGTGTAGAATGACAACAGAACTAAAGTGCCAGGAGTGGGGGAGCCCTTGATAAATTAGTCTTGCTCAAATCACAGACTTCTGCCACCTTCTGGATTTGGACCATAACCTGTGCCTGTCCTATTACTTGCTAAAATGCTTTCTTTAAGTTGACTCACTTTTATCCAAAAGAAATCTATTATTTTTAAAAGAAACTTTGTATCACTACTGTAAATGAAAAGCAACTCGTGTTGCTTGTCATGAATAGAAAGTAACTGTAAAAATAAATAAAATGAAAGGGAAATAATGTTATTAAATTGTAACTGGATGTAGTTGCCCTCAGAACATTCCCAGCTTGACATCTGCTCTTGCCATAGTGTTAAAATCATACCAGCCCCACATCAAGATTTTCGTTCATGAAATCAGACGACTGCAAGAGAAACAAAAAAAGAATGACTTTTCCACCAGGTGATTCAATGCTTGATAACATAGTACATGTGTGCCTCCTAATATCCTCTGAGGTGGCTATTGTTCTATACCTTGAGAAGTAACGTAAATTTAGACTATACTAATTTTAGACTATTTGTGCCATTTACCATTCAATTTCTATCTTTAGAAAAGGTACATCTCTCCTAATGCACTAAGTGTTGATTGAGATTCCTTTCACAATTGGGTCATTGTGGCCCCAAATCTTTTTCCAAAAACCAAAAGCCCTCTTTTATGGAGGAAGGGAGAATTGTTGCTCAAATGATTCACAAATGTGAACCAAACATACCCGGCCACCACCTCCACATTCAGCCACTTAAAAATCATTTACAGGCTTTTAGATAAGATAAAGCTGGTTTGATGAGAAGAGTGGTTTTAAATAACTGGCTTGAGGTACCAGGCTATCTCATGAGATGTGTTTGGACAAAAACACTCAGCCCATGTTTACTGAGTACAAATGAAAACGACCCCTTGATGCCATCCAGGTTCAGCATAGGTACTACACACGTGAGAGTCCTGTACTTTTACCTCTTAACCCCAAAATTGAGCCACGTGACCTGAGACTGGGGAGAAATATTAGAAGGCATCTCTTGGCCAGCATAACCAAGATGCTAGGAGAGAGCACAGCCAGGGCCCCCAGACCCACTTCCCACCATCTTGCTCTGTGGCCTTGGGCAAGTCTTTGCAAGGGGTCTCCCTCTAGCCTCAGTTTTCTCCTCTACATAATGGGAGAAGGGGAGAATGAACCAGATTGGATTTCCCAGACTTTGCGAACTTTATATATTCATGGACCAGTAAAATTTGAAAACTTTTGACTATAATAGGATTCTCAACTTTTACCTTGCTAAGTAAAGATATTTTCAAAAACAACTGTCATTCATATTATCATTTCATTAAAATAGGATAGAGAGAACATTTTAATACATACAAGAGAAAAGATGTAATTTTTGGAATAAATTCTTCTCTCTGAAGCAACTCCTCCATTGTCCTATTTTTTGCATTTCTCACTAGGTGAAACTATTTTCATAGACCAGTAATAACTCTCTTGAGGATTCTTTCAAGCTCAAAGTCTGTGGATCTCTGATAACCGTGGGGGTCAGTGTGTCCTGCCCATCACCTTTTGCAACTGCCCCATCCACCAGGTGCCCCTGAGTTTGTGTCCCTCCCGCCCACCTGCCAGCACTCACCTGCAGAGGAGAAGGCTATGGTGAGAGTGGCACTGGTGTAGAGAAATCTGAAACACAGAACGGGAGATGGAGAATGTTGTCAAGAAAAGAGAAACCTGGGGGATGAAACAGAGAATTCTGCTCACTCAGTCTCCAAATTTGGCACTTGAGTGCATTCTCAGCCTGGGAGTTCAATGGGCATTAACGCTTCTTGAGCCCCAGGCTCAGAACCAGGTGCCGGAAGCCCCGATGGGACTGAGATATCGCCCTGACCTCACAAACGATGGTATTTTGCCCATCTCAAGGTCCAAGGCTAGGCTGGGAAATCTTGGGCAATGAGCTCAGCTAAGGATGCAGTGAGTTCAAGAGAAGGTTACTGGGCTTAGCCAGAGGCCAAGTGGGTGGCGCCAAGGCCCTCCTACCTGGGAATCCCCACAGGCCAATCCCTTGGAGAAAGGGGTTAGCGCCTGGTCTACAAATCAAAACCTTCAGTCCTAACTCCTACTCGCTGTGTGACCTCGGGCGAGACACTGCCCTTCTCTGGGCCTCAGTGGCCTTTTCTATAAAAGGAAATGATTGGACTGATCTAGACCGCGAGCTTAAAGTTCTAGGATTCTGAGACTACAGAACCACAATCCCAAGGTTATGGGATCTCTTAGCAGTTTGGGGGTCTTCTAAGACACAGCGTAATAAAAGTAGTGCCTAAGTGTGATATAGTGATTTATAATAAGAAATATATATTTGGTCCTTGTGCCCAGTCCCTGACACAGTACTTCTAAAACCCTTGTAAATTCCTCAGTGATAAGAGCACTGGGAGCATCTTTTGCTCTAATGAAGTGACTCTGGGTGGGCTCCTGGATCGCTCCTGGATGGGGGCGGGTCACCAGAAAGACAAAGCCATAATTAGAAGATTGGAATTTCCAGCCCCACTTCCCACTTCTCTAAGCAGGATAGGGGCTGGAAATGGAGTTAATGATTGATCATGCCTACATGAGGAAGCCTCCACAAAATCCCAGTAGTAGGGAGTTCGGAGAGCTTCCAGGTTGGTGAACACATCCATATACCGGGAGGGTGGTACACCCAAACTCCACAGGGACAGAAGCTCCTGGGCTCGGGGCCCTCCCAGACCTCACCCTAGGTATCCCTTCATCTGGCCATTCATGTGTATCCTTTATCATATCTTTTAACGAACTGGTAAACGTAAGTAAGTTTTTCCCTGAGTTCTGTAAGCTGTTCTAGCAAAGAATCGAATCCAAGGGAAGGAGGTCATGGGAAGCTCTGATCTGTAGCCAAGTCAGACAGAAGTTGTGGGTAACCCAGGGACTTACCACTTGTGACTAGTGTCTGAAGTGGGGGGCAGTCTCGTGGCACTGAGCCTTACCTCTAAGATCTGACTCTATCTCCAGGTAGATAATGTCAGAATTGAGTTAAATTGTAGGTCACCCAGCTGGTGTCGCAGAATGGCTTGGTGTGGGAACCTTCCCCCCATTTGGTGACAAGAAATGTCAGAAGTGAAGTGTTGTGTGTGGAAGTAAAGGAGAAACACAGGAAGGAAGACTGGGTTTTTCTTATCACATGAAGGCTGGAGAAGAGGGAGGGAGCGGGAAGAGGAGGAGACCAAAGACAAGAGAGACTGAGATAAAGTCATTATGCGCCAAATGCTTAAAGATCAAGGGACTGGCTTTACTCTCTGGCCATTTCCTGGCCCAGCTGGCCCTGCAGTCCCTCTGACAACTAATCTCTCACATGCCTGCCTTGCTTTGGGTCCTATCAGCCCCCAGCAGGCCGCTTCTTACCACTGAAACTGGCCAGTTGCAGGGGCACCCTGGGCAAGCGAGAGCAAGTCCCTTGGCCTTCTTGACTCATCTGCATGGGAAACCCCACTGCCTCTCCTCCAGCCCCAGCCCCTGAAATCTCACCACTGGAGATACCCAGGAGAACCCATTGGCTAAGTCTTTGGGGAGTGATGGGAGGTGAGGAGGATGATAATTAAGCCTGAGCAACTTGGGCATGAAGCCTTGTAGAAGATATAGACAAGGATCCCCAGGATGAAGGCAGAGTGACAATTTTAGGTTTTGCTAATTTCATAACCCTGGCTCCAGGCCAGCCCTCCCAGAGAGTAGGCCTGGGCTCCTGCTCAATTCAGCACGTCATACAGAACACACACTCACACGGAACAGAGGAAGGAGGTAAGGAAAAGGAAGTAGGGGTGTGGGAAGAGAGCCAGTCTACACAGAGTCCACACTCGGGGCTGCTTCTAACAGAGCTGCTGAGGCAGGGCCTAGCAGGGCTGCCCAGCTGCCTGGCCTGAGTCTCCCTCCAAGACACGCGGCGGCCAGAAGAATTCCTCTTGCTCACCTCCACTCAGACTGGGCCTTTGGGACTTACATGGCTATGAGGCGGGCCACGGTGGTCTTGAAACGGTCAAAGATGTAGCCGGTGGGGAACGTCATGAAGTTGTTCATGAAGGACGCCACGGTAAAGATGAGCGAGAACCTCTCATCCTGGGCTTTGCAGTCTGGAGGACAGAAAGGAAGATCTCAGAGGCCAGGGTGGATGGGCCAACCTCCCATCCGCCCCAGTCTTCCTGCCAGGTGGGTACCCAACCTGGCTCCCCTCTAGAGCAGCCTCTCCCATCTTGGACAGCTTGCTGGTGGAAAGTTCTCCCTCTGGTGAGGTGAACTGTGACTGTCCCTAATAACCCCTCAGGAGCTGGTACTTCCCTCCCCAGGTACCTCCTAGACCAAGGTTGAGGGGTAAGGGGCGGGGGAGGCTGACACCCCCTTCCTCTCACCATAGAAAGGTTGGCAGGATGAGTAGGGGATGGAGTCCTTCCTACCCCTTCCCATCCCGTGGGAACAAGCCTCAACTTCTTAGACAAGTCATCACTCCCTTACCAGTCTGCCCGGTGACATTGCCCATCAGCGTGGCATTGCCCGTCAGCCCGGCATTCCGTTCACACAGCTCTTCAAAGTAACGTTCTATTTTGAAGACGAACACCAGCGACGCCCAGCCGAAGAGGACGCCCGCAAAGCCAAGACATTCCAGCAGCCCAGTCAGCAGGGTGGCCACTCGTAGGGGCAGGCCCTGACCCGCCATGGCCTGAGGTGCTGCCGATCCTCCAATCCCACTGGTGGCCTCCTGGGCTGACCACAGGAGCTGCAAGGCCTGGCGTTTTAGCACTTGGAAAATTCCGTTGGCAGGCCCTTCCGGTCAGGTAGCTCTCTGGTTCCGGCTGTTCCAACTTGGGCAAAAACCATCAGCAAGTGAGTCTCTGGATCCTGTAAAATAAGGCGGAGGCTGCTTGGTGCAGGTGGCTGGGGGAAAGGTACAGGTGGACAAAGCGTTCTTCGTGCAGTGGAGAAAGAGGCCAGCTGTTAGAAACAGCTGCAAAAAAAGCCCCTCCGTCCTACCCCATCTGGCAGTAGATGGGGACACAGGAACAGAGCCCAAATTCTGAAGACCGTCTGCTAAAATAATAACAGCAGCAATTCTGAAGCAGGCACAGGGGGTGGGGAGCCTTCATGTACAGTCCATGTATGGCCAAGTTAGCGCTTGTTATCTTCAGTTTACTAACAAGGAAACAGAAGCTCCAGGAGATTTTATCAACTAGCCCAAGGCTAGTTGGTCACAACTTGAAGTCCAGTCTAATGCCAAAAAATCCCAACTCCAACACCATCCTCCGTGACTCTGTCGGCTGGGAGGCCCCATGCCCCCTCCCCAGGCCCCCTTCCCCACATCTCCATCTGCCAGGAAAGTGCCCCGAAGCCGCTCCTCACCCTCACCCTGCACCCCCTCCAGGGCGGGTCTCCGGCCCTGCGGGGAAAGGCGCCCCGGGAGTCAGCCTGCCTCCTGCCCCATCGCCTCTCTTCCCCATGGCCCCCTGTCCGCACCCTGGCCCTGCCCCTGCGTCCTACCTCCTCGCTGGGCTGCCTTGCTGTCCCTTGCCCTTCGCAGCTCGGATTCCCGCCTCTCGCCGCCCCTCCCAGTCTCGTCCTTGCCCCCCGACCCCGACCCCGCTCGAGCCAGCCGCCGGGAAGGGCCCTGACAGGCAGGGACGGCACCTGCGGAGGTCCCCCACCTCCCCTTCTCCATCACTTCCTTCCTCTCCAGTGCTGATAGTCTCTCGCGTGCTTTTTGACCACTCTCTTGGATCTTCTCTCCTCTCTCTCCCTCTAACCCCAGCAGAGGCTGTTTTCATTTTTCTTGACTCTCAGCCTCCTAGCTCCTTTGCCTCTCCTCCCTCCCCTAACCAAGTTCGTTTTAATACTGCTGCACGCACAGGCAGACCCACAGAAAAGACTCCAAACTCACAGCAGGCGCACACAAAAGAAACACAGCTACCTGCAGACACAGGGACACAGACACACTGCCTATTTCACATTCTTTCCTTGACCGTTTGGGTAGGCAAGAGGACATTTTTCCCCCTTTGCCCACCAGCTCAGCCCTCTCTCCTGATCTCATGCTCCCAGCAAGTCCCAGGCACAGAATCAGGGCACCAAGGACCAGGACTGAACAGCTTTCCAGAAACCATCCCCTGGAGGGGCGCCCTGCCTTTTCACCTCCAAGGACCCCTTTGACTACTCCCTGCCTCACCCCCAGCCCAGGTTCTGCAAGAACCTACCCACCAGACTGTGTTGATTAAGTATTCATTCGTTGCTCCATTTTTTATTAATCAAAGACATATATAATTGCCCATCGGAGCTGTGATCAGCGGGAGGTAGCCAGCCGAACCAGCTGCGCTGCTATCATTCCGGCCCAGAGCAAGTGAGCTGACGGCTTCCATGGCCTGTGAGGCTGTTTGCATTCAAAGCTGAATTTAAAAGAGAGCTTCTTGTATATGCAATGCAGTCTGCAGGCCCCCATGCCCAGCCTCACGATTCCCCACCCGCGCCCAGGGACTCCAGTTATTCCAAGTCCATCCTTCTTTTTAATGAGGAAGAAATAAGAGGTTAGGACAGTGGAAGGCCAGAACCAGGGAGTATTTTCCAGATTGCCAGCAAAACACAAAGGATAAAGAAAGTCTGACCACGCAAGCACCTGGCTGCATGGGGTAAGGGCGGCTCTGGTCCTATACCTCAGGTATTCACTAGTGACACAGCCCCCAGCAAGATTTCTGGCTGCCCCACCTGCAAGATGAGGACTATAGTACCTTAATTACAGCAATTATCACAAAAGAAATATGAGATGCGTTTATGAGGTCCCTGCAGGTATGGTAGGCAGTGGCCAGACTGCGGACAGTACTGGTTCTCCAGTTCCCAGGTATGTAGACAGAGCCAGACAAGCAGCTTTTGGATGGGACTTCAGAGGAACTTGCCCAAGGTCAACCTTCAATGCCTGGCTCCCAAATCTGCGCTCTGACACTCCCAGTCTTAACAATGGATATTTGGGCATTAGAGAAAACAAATCTTTTCTTAAACAATCAATTGATGGAAAAAAAACATAAGAAAATATAGCAGCCTAAGACAAACAGGACTTAAGATGCAAGATTTTCTATTTGACTGCAAGACACAAAGACATTGAAATTAATTCAAGCCCTATGTCCTGCTCTGGCTTACATTTTGGTCTCCTGAGGACCTGGGGGGATCAGAGAGTGAGTGAGAAATAACAAGGGAGGAACAGAAAAAGTCAAAGCAAAGAGAAAGAGATTTTAGAGTGTCAATCTGCGGGAGCAGGCAGAAAGGCCCAGCTCCCGGGCTACCCGTGCACCCAGGACTGGAGCTCGGGATTTGGGACAGGTCGTCAGGGCTCTGTCCACCTCATCTTCTCTCTCTCGGCTCTCAGTACCCCCACCCGACACCCGCATCAATGCCTGCAGGTGTCACTGCCTGTAACGTGACAGTCTTACTGAAACTGTTGGGACAGACAATTAGAATATTCTCTGCACCATTCCGTTTTATTTGGTTCGAGTTCCAGCCACTAGCAGAGGCATATGCTATTTGAATCATTCTCATGCCTCACTCTGCCGATGAGGATTAATGTGTAACATCACAGAGAGGAGTGATTATAATAAGGTCTGACTGCGTGGCCAACGTCTTCATTCCTTCTTTCTTCCCTTCCTTCCTTCCCCTTCTCCCTGCATCTTTTTTAATTGATTGAATCACTCAACAAATATATGTGACACACGAGGCTTTGCACCAAGGGCTGGGATTCAGAGAGGACGATTCAGCGCCTTCCTTCAAGGAGTTCATTCTCCCATTGGGGAGACACGCAAAGAAACCCAAGATTTCTGGAGTAAGGAAATGGTCTTCTGGGCACAAGCTAGCACAGCACATTCAGAGGCATGGAGCCCTGACAGAGAAAGAACATTCAGGAACCAACTAGAACAGAGAAGGCAAGGGGCGTGGCAACGCTTGAGGCTGGAGTGGCCCGCTAAGTGAAGGTGTTTGGAGTTCAGCCCACATCAATCAATCATGTGCTATTGATTCTACCCCCGAATATCTCTCCTATCCATCCTTGGCCACTGCCCTATTCAGACCTCATCATCTCTCACCCGGACATCACCTGCTTCCAAACCATCGCCATACTGCTGCAAGAGTTGATTTCCTTGGTTTCTCTTTGATGACATTACTTAACTACTCAAAACCCCTCAGAGGCCAGAGGTCCAGTCAACCAGCTAGTGAGGGCCAGTCCAGGCTTTGGGGATACCAGTCATGGGACATTATTGCATTGGGAGGAAAAGTTAGCATAGACCTGCATCTCTTGCATCCCACTCAAGCACTGGGGCTGGGGGACCTTTTCTTTGCATTACGAGCACGTCTGGATATCCAGGCTCCATGCTACGGATGTTTTTATGGCAAGGGGGTGGGGAGGTGCGTATATTTATTTAGATCAGGGAAGAATGGTTTGCCAAACGGGCAGCATGAATGAGCTGCACCAAGTCATCCCCCTGGCACAAGCAGTGACTGGCCCCCAGCAGGGCCACCTTCCAATGTAGCCCCCACCTCTGCACTGATCTCTCTCCTCAAGCCTTCCCCGAATAACCTCAGCGAGGACCCATCCCCCACCTCCACTGGCCACTCTCTGGTCAGGGTCCACATACCCCTTCCTGCCCCTCATCCCTCTCCAAATTTTTAAATGTGGATAAACTGTGAGCCATTCATATAAGGGGCTTTGATTTCTGATATGCCAAGCAAACAAACAAATAAAACAAAACATAAACTTTTTGTCCTTTCAAATCCTGGGCTCATGCAAATCAAAATGTTTGGTTTTCCCAGCTATGGTCTTGGACGAGGTTTTAAGAGCTTGTTTTGGAAGACAAAAGGTAAATGCCAACATTTTCTCTTTCATTTCAACTGGGGAGAAAAATACTAATTATCTTGAGGCAATGTCAAAAAAAAAAAAAAACCTGATATTGAGCCAATTCCTGATCTTACCGATCCCTCTGCACTTTAGTCTCCTCATCGATAAAACTGGAATCAGGTTGTTGTATGAATTAGAGAGAATGTAAGAATATCGCCCAATTAGTACACTAGCTAATTAATAAATAGCAGCTATTCTTGCTAAGAAAAATCGTTCACTGAAAAATAAAGAGGAAATCATGAAGTCACCTTTGAGGAGGATTGCAAAGTGCTCTTAACCTAAAAAAGAAATAAAGGAGGAAAAAAAATCACTGTGTAATGGGTGAGCTCAGTCATCTGTTTCAGAAGCGCCCCCACCCCACACCCCCAGGGCTGATCTCTAGGCAGCACCCAAACGCACATCCCTGTAATCCAGGGGGACTTCCCCCACTTGACTGGGCTTATTCAAAGCAGGGGCCTGGTGGATCGTACTGTGGGCCGTGGAAAGGAAGTCTGTTCATGAACCGGAGTAGACAGGAAGGGGAGGAAGTCTTACAGTTGGACCCTTCAAGGTGTCTCCTGGAGTGTTCAAAGCCGTTCTGACAAGGATGGGGAGCCCCGAATAAAGATGAGCCTTCCTCACTCTGAGAAGACCTTTCTCTTTAACCAACAGTGAATCTCAAAGGACTTTCAAAGAGGCACTGGGGACAGAGGGCTGCTCTGGCCAGTCAGGTCAGCCAGCTCAGCCCTGCTGGATGCTCGAGTCAGCAGATGTTGCAACCACATCAACCTCACTTCCACCTTGCAGAGAACAGGGCTCCCTGACCAGCCACAGGGGGCTTCCGGGTCAGTCCCAGTAACAGAAATGGGAGCCACAGGCCCCACCACACATGGCCTTATGAACCTCCTGCTGCCCACCCGCCCTCCACCCAGCTCTAATTCCATGTTCATCAAGCAGCTGTTTATTGGTAATTTGACTTCCCACATAGACTTTGCTAGAACAGAGTGCCCTAGGTGCACTGACAACTTCCAAATCTTCAAAGCTAAGGATGAGGCCAAGGAACACTACCAACCCTGAGGCATGCCACACCGTGGAGAATAATAACAAGTATC